ATAGAATAGACGACCTTTTCTCTGCTGTTTGGCAAGTGATAAGTCCTAAGGGGAATGGCAAGGCACCTAAAAAGTGGCTTGTCATTCCCCTTATAAGAAGCAGTCAGAAAAAGGTCGTAGAGAAAGGGCCACGCTTGATGCTTAAACTGGGATGGATAAAAATCCAACCCAAGTTGTAGGCGTGGTCACAGGGACCAGCTCTAAGGCATCCGCAAGGAAGCAGAGAGCGGCCAAGCGTCCTGGTAAGCCAGCCAAAAGGAGGCTACAAGGGTCCACCACGCCGAGAGGCCCAAAAAAGTGCGACTCGAACAACAACCAAAGGCTGCAAGAAAGAGCTAAGCGGCCACTGCTAAAGTAGATTTGGGTGTGGCCTTAACGTGTGCGCGTTCAGGTCACATAACCAAGAAGATACAGAGGAAGATGATCAGCGAGGCCTGGAGTAGCCAGGACCCTGATGCGTCGAGCCCAGTTTTTAGAGGCAAAACCCGTTTACACGGAGGGTGTCCTGAAGCTGTGGAGCGACGATCAGAAAGCTCTGAATTGGTTGAAGTGGAACGTTGCTACCCTCGATCTCAAATCCAACACCTCGCTGATCATAAAGAAACAGTCACAGATACCACAGAGAATCAAGTGTGGTATCTTTATCCCTGATGCCCAAGGTGCCTGGAAAGACTTACTCGACATCGGTCGTGTGCTAGCGTACCAGAACCGCTGGGTAAACATTAGGGACTGGCTGATACTCAAATCTGATAAGAAGATGGACGGGTGGTCCTTCGTTGTTTCAGTGCCGGAGAATCATATTCCGATCCTACTGAAAGAGGCCTAAAGAAAAGAGACAAATAACCACCCGGAAGTCATGGATAACGGGGCCGTGGTTAGCAGTGCAGCGCAATCACTGGATGCCAAGTTTAGTGACAAAACGGCCTGCACAACTGAGCCGAAGCCACCAGCAGAGATCGGGCTCAGCGGCAGCTCACCGAGTGAAGAAGAGGACTGCATTTTGCCGTCCAATTCTGACTCGGTTGCTGACGATGAGAACCGAGATCTGCTGGCAGGCCTATTTTACGGCCTGGCCACGGGGAAAGGCGGCGCGAACGGCGAAGTGCCAAACGGGGCGACACTTCGCGCGGCGCGATTTGGGGGCAACGGGAAGTCACGTTTGCCGCCGCGACCAGATAGGTAGAGAGTGAAATGTCTTTGTCAAAGTTATCTCGATATTGCTTAGAAAGTCATTGTTTTTTGATTCAAGACATAATATTAGGAAGAGATTGCGGAGTACATGATTTGAATAGGAATTGGGTTATAGATATGAGAATTCCACAACAAATAGAATGCATCTAGAAAAAAAAATTCGAGTAAATACCAATGAGTGTCGAAACCTGCGATTATATTCTTGTTAATATTCAACCAGAATTGGAGATAAAAGTCAATGCGGATAGAATTTTAAGTTGTTTTTGTCGGGCCGGCATTTTTCGCGGCGAAAACGACAAAAATATTTTGTTCCCTATACTATTCGCCGGTTTTTGCCGCGTCTGCCGCCCGACTCGGTGCCTTGCACCGTACTGATTCATACATTTGTTTCATTCGCCCGCCGCGCCGCCAGTCGCCCGCGCGATTCGCCCGGTAAATTTCGTCAGTCGCGTCGCCACTCGCCGCTACGCGTGGCTTGCTCCATACATTTCTATACATTTGTTTTAGTCGCTAAACGCCTCGCCGTTCGCGCCGCGCGAATTTTCGCTACGGCGAATGTCCCGTGGCCAGGCTGTTAGGGCGGAGATGGGGCAGACGCGATTAATGATGACGTGCCCTTTGTCCAAAACTAGCCTCGTGCAGGCCAACATCCACCAAAGCGAAACTGCGCCCGTTCAATTAAGTAAGCAATTAGGAGTCTCAACGGATGGCCATAGCCCTAATCCAAGACCTGTGGCTTGGGACTGGTAAAATCAAAGGCTTTAACGACCTAAAAGGTAAGTTATTCCACAGCTCTGAGCACAACAGGCCTAGAGCGTGTATTGCATGTTTATACTACTAAAGATATCTGTGCACAGCCATTAACAGATTTCTGTTCCAGAGACATGTATGCCATAGTAATACAAAATACACAGGAGGGAAGATTAGTCATTGCCTCGGTCTACATGCTGGAGGAAGACACACATCCCTGTCATGACCTCGCCAGACTGGTGAATTTCTGCGAGAGGACTGAATTAGAGGTTGTGATTGGGACAGACCCCAATGAACGAGGTAAGGTGTTAGTTCAATATCTCTTTAGCACTAACCAAACCAGTTTAAACACAGGTTCCGAACCAACTTTCATAAATAAACATTGTCATACAATAATCAACCTCAGACTTGCAACAGAAGGAGCAGCTAAACTAATCATGAGATGTCAAAAGAGGCCTCATTGCTCAAACCATAGATGGCTCTGCTTCATACTACAGGACGATATCCCCGCCAAACCATCATGAAGAAATCCTTGCACGACTGACAAAATAAAGTAACAAAATAAATAATGTTATCGCTTGCAGGTTTTGATGGGATAAGCACTTTAGCAGATCAGTCGCTGCTAGAAGAACTGGTAGTAGCTGTTACTAGAGCCATAATAGCTGCTGATGGCTGATGGACTGATGTCTGATGCCAAAAATTATACTGTGGCTGTACAAAACTGTAATTCGCATATGATCACATACGGCGCTCTGGTATGGTGGACCACAACAAATCAAGCCACCACTATAAAGAGACTTCAGCATTGCCAAAGACTGGGAAAATTAGCTGCTACAGGCTCCATCCACCACATCCACAGGCTACACCAACAGCAGCCTTAGAGGCTATGCTGGAGGTAGCCCCGCGTCACCTACATATACAAGAAGTGACTTTAATTGCCATTAGACCTAAAACCCCAAAATCTTTGGAGTACGAGTAGAGTCCCTCATACAGGTATAATTAATAGAATTTACTCAAAAATTCTTATCTCAAAAGCCAAGTATGATAAGATCCCCAAACAATTTGTGTTCAATAAGAAATAGGTAGACAATATAATTAAATGAAATCAACCAGTAAGGAGGGATTAAACCCAAAAGAGCTTAGAGTTCTCACAGATGGTTTTAAAACAAATGAAGATGTGGGATCTGGAACTTTCTTGGAAGACCTCAATACCCACATATGTACACCGCTGGGTGCACACAACACAGTTTTTAAAGCAGAATGTATGAGTACCATTCAAGAGGCCACAGCAATAGATGCCAGGAAGGTAAAATCTTTTAAGTGTTTCTATCAGAACACCTGACATTATTGCAGTATTACAAGCTCTGAGTTGCTATGTGGAGAACTCGGGACTAATATATGAATGCCATCAACAATTAAATTAGGTGTGTAAACACTGCAATGTGACTCTGCAATGGATCAAGGGACACCGTGGATCCAGGCAATGATGAAGCAGACGAACTGGCCAAGAGAAGATTGGCTACGGCCCTTATAGGGCGTGAACTGATCGTACCGATCCCTTTTGTAATGTGCGTTCACTGGTATGTGTCACCTGGTTTCCGCAAATCCACGTGTATTTCACGTGTAGGCAAGAATTATAGCAATGCTATGCTAATTTTCGTATGGTGAGTGTAAAGATCTAGAGACCCTTTTTACTGGAAATGAGGCATTCCATCTTAGTCCTCAGGGGTGACAACACATCTGCATTTTGATTCTTAATCGAGGATAAATGTAGATGTCTAGACCACAGCATCCACCTACCATCAGGTGGACTGAATGCTCATTTATCACCCTTATTCTAAATTTAAATAAAAAATTAAAAAATGGTGAAAATGTTAGAGGACGTAACTTTTAAACTTGGCACCTAATTAGTACCTAGAAAGCCCCTAATTTCGGCTTTTTCTAAATACAAATTCCGGACTTTGCTTTACAGGCAATACATAACTAATGATTGAGGGACGAAGCTATATAGACAGACATAGTGGAAAAACCATCCACAAGTGTGGAATTTGATACACTAGTAATGAGATGCAGCATTTAACAAGTGAAGATATTGACTCTGTGTTCAACCCATAACTAGATTAAAATGCATACCTGATGGCATATTCTTGAAGAGGTTTTTGCAGCCATGAATTTACAAAATAAAACCTATATACTGCATTATGTTATCATGTTGTAGGTGTGTAATAGAATCCACTACCCCAAATTATCTATGGAGGTTGCATGAATATGAAGCAATATAAGTTAACTGAAACAGGTGAAGGGCAGCAGCATTTTCATGAGAAAAAAGTAATAAAAACTTCAGTCTCCAACCTGACAGACAAGATTTGCAAATGTAATGCAAGCTATGCAAGGCAAGCTATGTTTATCTATAATTGATTATACAGTAACTTTAAAATTGTCAACTCAAATGTAATAATTAAAACAATTTATAAGCCAACGAATAGACTAAAGAAGAATATTGATACTATTAATAAATAATTCATTCATTAAGCTAGTTTTTTTAAGAGAATATTAACAATGCTATAATAAACATTACTAATATTTCCCGTAACCACTCGTGGTAAGCTTAAATTGCTTGTGTTACGAGTGGTTTAAAATCTTACTTACTTAATAAAAACTTTGTCATTTTAAGCAAAAATTAGAAAAATATCTGTCTACCTGCTCCTAGATATGTTACTTCTACAGTAAAAACTAAAAAGCTCAAGAGTTACTCACATTTTTGTTACAAAATCTGTAAATATTATAAGTACAGCAGAAAATGTATTTATGACATATTTTCTTTTAATCAAGAACTTTCATTTCAATTGATCATCAATTGATCTTTATATCCAGACATTATATGGAAAAATACACTGTATAATCTATTTCAGGATTACCGGTGAAATTTAATAGTAAAAATATTAAATAGTCCTGCGAAATTTTAAATGTTATCGTAATATTTTATTAAAATACATATTATTATAAATAATGGTGTGAAGTTTTTCCAAAGGAAACGAAATATAACGCGTAACACTTACCTATATCAGTTATAGGTGGTTTGGTACTATATCCTTTTAGATGTCCAGAATCTGAATCGTCTAGCAATTCCGGTTTTTCTGGCAAACCTGCTACTACAAAATAATCCGCAACTCGTCGTTCATCCATCTTTGTATAATACACTTGAGTTCTGTATGATAGTTTCTATAATAAAAAATAAATCACATATTTGTAAGCCCTATGCAACTAGTAGCAGCAAAACAACAAAATTTGTAAGAAAAAAATCTAACCTGTTTTACTAGTACTGTGCATTATAATAAAACACTGATGTAAAATATGTAACAATTAAACATTTATGTTCAGCACAGTATTCACATTTTTTAATGATTTTTATTGTGCAAAACACAGTAAAATAGCAAAAACATGAATTCCGAAAAATGAAAACTTACAATTATTACCACAGACTAACTAGTAACTTGTGGAATCACAGATTATTTATGAAATATTTTTTATTATCTGGCTTTACGACTCTGGGTTCTAGCCCTTCTGAGCCTAATTATACAATATGTATGTGCTATGCCATGGAGGATGGAGGTTAGAGAGAAAGAGAACGATCGCTACGTGCAAAAGCATAGCTCGCCTGTCCCCTTTGAGTATTAAACTAAAGGAGACGGCATCGCAAGGCACACCCCTCTGTAAAAGGTACGAGAATTCGACTCATAACCGTTATACAAAACTAGTTGCTCCGCGTCGTGCGCCATTCCGAGGTGATCGTGCCAGTAAATTGAGCTCCGACAAAATTCCGAATTGCAGTGTATTTACATGAAAAAAACGTAAAATATACGAAGGAATAACGTGACTTTTCATCTGTGAGTATTTTTAACATACTATTAAGGTAATATTATCATTAAAACTCGTACTTTCTTAATATTTTCGTGAAATACCGAGTGTGGCCATCATAGTTCATAAAGTGAAAAATAATCTATTTTTAAATAAATATAATTTACAACACAAGTTTATATTAACGAAAATATATTTCATAATAACTAAATCAGTTTGTGATGAACAATAATCATTACAGTTTTTTTTTTTTTCCCACTTTCTTCACACAAGATATTTTATAAAAAAATAAATTAAAAATTTTTTAATAAAATAAAAAAAAAAAGAAAAAAAAAAAAATTTTGTTTCGCTTTTCCATTTTTTTTTAATTATTTTTCCCCTTTTTTTTTATTTGTTCCCCAACGTTGTTTTTTTATTAAAATTTTTCTATTATTGGTTTGTTTTTACAGATTTGCAAGAGATCCTCTTAGGCGACAAACTTGGATTGTGGCTTGTAGAAACCACGAACCTTGGATACCTAAACGGACTAGCACCATTTGCTCCAAACATTTTGCTGGAAAATCATATTTCATACCCCAAGCTTACAATAAAAGGAGGTTAGCTGATTGCACTGCAGTACCAACCTTGAAATTGGGGGAGGCAATGTTTGGCTGTAATTATATTTAGATTAAATATTTTTATTATTACCTTTGACACTAATATTATTCTACTTGAAAATATTTTATTAAGTTTACAAAAGCATTAACCTATCAAATTTAATTCATATATATATATATATATATATATATATTTTTTTTTTAATATATATATAAATAAATATAAATATATTGAATCTTTTGATTTACGTAAGTAAATTAGTTAATTATTTATTTTGAGGTGAACCTGGTGATTGCACAATATCGTCTGCATCGAAAGAAGAAAGCTGGATGTTCCGGCAAAATTCCATTAGTTGTCTCCAAAGTCACAATTCGAAAAAACCTTATATAGCCCGAACTAGTCCTACTCCCTACTGCGAGTACGAGCCAACACTTAGGCCAAGGAAAATTAAAACGAAAAAATGCCTTGACATAAAAAACAATAGCATAAACAGGCTTCACAAGTTTGCAAGAAATACTATACCCTAACACTTAACTATTACTCACTAAAAGCCTATCGCTATGTACGTAAAAATTTTAGAACATGTTTGCCTGCACCACCAACATTGACTAAGTGGTACACTACCATTGATCGCCAACCAAGGTTTACTCAAGAAGCACTGACGGCATTAAAATTAAGAGTGGAGAGTAATACTGATAATTTTTTTTTATTGTACCTTGGTAATGGATGAAATTAAAATTAAGTAATTGACAGAATACCATGCTAGCAGCCAAAGGCATTACGTATATAGCCAAAATGTCTATTAGAACTTGCATGGTACTCCGTCAATTGTTTTATTTTCATTTCATCTATCACTAATATACATTATTAATATACAATATGATTTCTTGTCAGGGTTACTCTCTAGTCTAAGTTTTAAAACTGTTAACGCTTTTTTTTGTGTAGCCAAGTCGGCCATCAATAATTGTAGTATACCACTTTGTAATAGTGTGTGATGAAGGAAGACCAATTTCAAAACTTTTGATATTTCGCACATATCGTTAAGCTTTCGGTGAATAGTAATGTAAAGTTAAAGCAAAACATCTTTCTGAGGAATACTTAGCCCTAGGTAGATGTCACGTTTTATTTTTAAGCAGCTGTCTGCTTAAAGTTCACGTTGTTAAACTATTATATAGTGTAAAACTTTTGTCCTTTTTAAATATTTTTAGATAGTTCATTTAATAATCTTGAATAACAACTTTTTTTTAAATACGGTTTTTGATTGAAGCCTTAACACTTGGTTAACACCATTAAGACGATAAACTGATAGGATTTTACTTTTCACAATAAGTTAACTAAAGCTCCTATTTCGATTTGTTAAATGTTTTAAATTTTATCCTGCGTAATGTAAAATAAACCTGTAGCAAAATAATAAACTGATTTTCAATAATTTCTAAGTTTTTAACGAAGATCATATCGAAATACTTTAAAAAAAGAATTTCAAATAACACCTTGGTATTATTTATCTATGTATTACTTATAATCAAATAAAAACTTATGGTGACTATGGTGATTTGTTTATCAATAAAAATATCGACATATTCCACGCCTTACGTTGCTTACGCATTATCAGTGTATCGACACGTGTACAATTTGATGGCATGCGTAAACGCGATGAACACAGACACAAATGCTGTAGTGTACGTTTATAGCGACGCGATTTAATTTTGTATTTGTAGTTAAGTATACAGTTGTGTGTTTTCTTGCGTCCCCCTGATGTCGACAGAATTTTTGTTTAGGAGTTAACGCGCATGGCCTATACAGTTGGTTGAATACTCAAAGCCTGTCCCTGAACTGCCGTTGGTAATTAGTATCTCCGAAGTTAGCTGTTTATGAGTACAAGTAGATGAAGTTAGTTGAATAATGTACAAATTTTCTTCGCGGCATAACTTTTGAATATTTGACCAAAAAACATTAATAAATGGTGAAATGCTGTATTTCTGCGTACTGAAAATTACTTTTATTGAGACAACTTAGCGATCGCAGTGCCTTACTTATTTTGTGCATATTTCTGGGCCACTAACAGCGATCGTTCTCCTTCTCTCTAGCCTCCATGCACTATGCAATGCACAGCCTTCTAAGAGTATGTATGAGTCACAGACCAGATAGAGAAACTAACGTTGTATGAGTCTTAAATTTAGAATGTATGAGTGGAATCATGACGATGAGTTATACTATATCTATAAGTGGATTGGAATGAGGGCATCCCTTTGATTATTACATAGATTAGTACTAACAGAGGCATCCGCGGCTTTTTCTGCCACCAGGGCGGCGCCATTTAAAAATGAGGTGTAATATTTGACAGATTTAATAGCGAGGAAGTTAAATTGTTTGAAAAATGTAAGAGTTAACATATTTTTCTGTACTATTACGTTATATATCACGTTAAGTAGATAACAAAATAAACAAAACCACATACAAATATTCATAAAGGTAGAAAATTTTAAAAAAAGAGTAAAAAATTTGCAAAAAACTCAAAATCAAACTACTAAGGCTAATTAAATTACTAATTCTCTTCAGTGTCTACTAGCGACATCTGGTAAGCGGAAGCTTATTAGCTATGGAGTGTAAAGATAAAGAAAACAATCTCTGTATTAAAAAATGTCCATAGGAAATCGCTTAATAAGGGTGGCGCCACTGTAGCTAGAGAGTAAATTTTAAATAACTCTTTATTGCACAAACTTTCAGCATAATTCTTTTTTATAATAATTATTTTATTGTTTTCAAAATTTTTATTTTCAAAATCACTCTCAACGTGTTTCACGGTGACTTTTTCTAGGTTATATTTACTAAATTATTTAAGACAAAGTAAGTAGTTGAGGTTTTAAATACTGCAGTTTCATCAACTATTCCAGTCACCACAAATATTAAATTTCTCAACTCAACACACTTTACTCCGTCGACAACTGCTAAGTTTATTTCATACCCTCTAGCTACTCGAGCGCTGGTGTGCAGAGTCTTTTACTGCTTACAGATGGACACATTTTTAACTATTCTCCTATGGTAGATTGTCCTCCTTACCTCTACACTCAATGTTATTAGCTCTCAATCTTAGACAGAGAAACCTATAGACTAATGATTAGCGTGGCCTCAAGTGAGAAAGGACGATAAAGTAGTTTTAGGTTATAAAATAATCTTTATGACTTCTAAACATATTTTTTCTATGTCCATGCTTACAAAGTTTAATATTTACTATTCTATGAACTTTCTCAATCAATCTACTAATTATATATTGTATTCTATTAAAGAAATCGAGATATGATTCGCCGTTATTAATTTTTAAAGTTCCCAATTTGATCGCGATCCACTCTTCGGACCGTGGATCACCGAAATGTTGCTTAAAAGTTCATTTTAATTCTCCCCAGGTTTCAATATTTTGTTCTTTAACTAATAAGGGCGGCAGCTCTGCCTATCAATTTTGACGTAATTACTTGAAATACGTACAAATCTTGTTCCGTATTTCCTATTTCCCCTACACAACTGTATCACATATTCACATTTACGAATGAATGAATTAAGTAAATTTTCACGCCGCCGCCGCCGTCAAATTTTTGAATAATACTAAAAGTTCCTTGGGAATCTGTATTATTTTAGGCATTTTTATAAAAGTTTATTTATAATTTATTTAATTCAATACCAATATTCAATAAAATTTATTTAAAAATTAAAAAGAAATTATTTAATTTTTGTTACTTAATAGAGAAATTAATTTAATTTACTTATTTCCAAATAAAAGAAATATAATACCGCACCTTAAATTTTGGAAATAACGCTACCACTATATAACTAAAATGTCTTTTAGAACTTGCATGGTACTCCGTCAATTGTTTTATTTTCATCTCATCTATCACTAATATACAAGCCGTGGTAGCTCAGATGGTTAACGCTCGCTGGAAATATAACAGAACGCGAGTAACCCGGGTTCGATCCCCGCCGGCACCAATGAAATTTTTAATTGCAATTTTAAGTGCTCAATTACCACTTGCTCGGCGGTGAAGGAAAACTTCACAAGGAAACCTGCATGTCTGAGGTATTGAAAAAAAAATATTTCGAAGACATGTGAAGTTCGCCAACACGCATTGGGGCAGAGCGTCGGACACTTCCTTGCCCTAAAACCCTGTCAGAAGTTAAATATTTTAAATTTTATCTTGAATAATGTAAAATAAACATGTAGCAAAATAATAAACTTTCTTTCAATAATTTCTAAGTTTTTTCCGAAGATCATTTTTAAATTCTTTAAAAAAAAAGAATTTCAAATAACAGCTTGGTATTATTTATCTATGTATTACTTATAATCAAATAAAAACTTATGGTGACTATGGTGATTTGTTTATCAATAAAAATATCGACATAGTCCACGCCTTACGTTGCTTACGCTTTCAGGCAGCGCCATCAGTGTATCGACACGTGTACAATTTGATGGTATGCGTAAAGGCGATGAACACAAAAACAAATGCTGTAGTGTGCGTTTATGGTGCCTCGATTTAATTTTGCATTTATAGTTAAGTATACAGTTGTGTGTTTTTATTGCGCCCCCTGATGTTGACAGAATTTTTGTTTAGGAGTTAACGCGCATGGCCTATACAGTTGGTTGAATACTCAAAGCTAGTTATGCACTGGTTAATCAACTACATTTAAATATTAAATATATCAACTTGCGCCCAAATTAATTCCATTGCGTTATACTGGCAATGATACGGTGGCAGCCGGATACTGGTTTTATTTTGCTATCTCATCCAAAACATATATTGGCGTTTGGGGTTCGTATACCCTCGTGCTCCCGTACCAAAATGCAAAATTTCTTTTTTCAACATATTGCCGTCGGCTTGTACTCCATTAGAAAGGCGGACCACGATTTTATTTAATTCTTCTGGTTATTTGCTGTCGGAGGCTCATTTTTTGAACTGAATGATAGGGTGCATTGATCATTAGTATTACATAGGGCTCATCTAAATTATTTAGAAGTTTTATAAACCATTCTTCGAGTTTTTAAAAATTTATCTCTTCGTGGTACTCCGTCGTCTTGACAGAATTGTATGCCAATAACCAATTTGGTACAAATCTAGACAAGGTACCAGATTGGCAAATTATTAACCTTTAACCTTTGCCCTCAGGTACCTTGGTAGACGATTCGGGTATATCATCAGTCCAAGTTTTAGAAACCGTGTGGTTTGCATTCAGCCATGTTTCATCCAGGAACACCGCTTTATCCAATTATCAATACCTAGGACTTATCTTAAAAAAAAAAAAAATGCGTGCAAGAGCAATGTCGTTACGTATCATAATAATTTTTCTTTTGTTCCTCTTTTTATATAAGAATCCAATTTTTTTTTAATATTGTTGATAAAAATGGTAGGCTACTGTACATAATTACATCTTTTAGAGAAACTGCTAATTTTGTTAATGTTGGCAGCTCGTTACGTGTGTAGTATGCATAGATGTGATTACGAATTGCTACGGCATCGAAATTAACTATGTCAGTTACAGGGCAACGTTTCTTTCTCTTTTAATTTGGAAGAGGTAACTCATCCTCCTCCGTTTTTCTTTGCTGATTCTATTCACAGTAGTTCTTCCAATGCCAAGAGTTTCAGCAAGTCTGTCACACACTTGGGACACTGGCAACAGTGGGCCACCATTTTCGTATTCACGTTTAAAATAATCACGCAAACGAATCTCAAACTCGCGAGATTCTCTATTTAAAACAGTTTTTCTAGTTCTTTTTAGCATTTTAACAACAAAAAGGCAGTAATAAAACAAAAACAATAACAAAGTAGGAACAACAAATACGCAAAACAACGAAATAAACGAAAACTGGCGAATACAAGGCGTGAAAATGGCGGCTCAATGTGCGCAGTGCTACCAATATTATAGAAAAACGAAAGCATGATTACAATTTTTTTATAGAATAAGGGTGATAATCGAGCACACAGTCCACCTGATGGTAAGTGGATGCAGTGGCTCATAGATATCTACATTTAAATATATATAAGAATCAAAACACGGTGTTGATGGGAGACTTCAACGCAAAACTGGGCACAAGAAAGAACGGTGAGCTGAAGGTAACGAAATTTGGAATAGGGCAACGGAACCCAAGAGGCCAGCAGCTGGCCGACTTCATGGAGAAAGAGGGACTTTTTATGATGAACTCTTTCTTCCAGAAGCGGCCCCACAGAAAGTGGACCTGGTGGAGCCCCGACGGTTCGCCAAAAAACGAGATTGACTTCATTATGACGACCAGACGCCAACTGTTCTGTAATGTCTTAGTGATCGCAAGGGTGAAAACTGGCAGCGATCACCGAATGGTTAGAGGATCACTGAATCTAAACGTTAAGTTGGCGAGATATCGTCTAATTAAGTCAACGCTCCGTCCCCCTCGTGCTCTAATCCAGAATCCCGAAACCTTTCAGCTCGATTTACGTAACCACTTTCAGTGCTTAGAAGATTGCAATGCAGTGGACGATATGAATGACAAGCTCGTGGAAACTGTCCATACGGTAGGAGCTAAGTTCTGCAAGATCCGCCGCAGAAGAACACAAAAACTCTCCGATCAGACTCTTAATCTCATGG